TTCAGAGTTGTTTTGGCTATTAATATATGACTTTCAGAGTAAAAAAAAAAAAGGGCTTGAGATTGCTTTAAATCTAGGGAGACATGTTTTGGGAGAATTGACATCTCAATAATATTGAGTCTTCCAATTCATGAACACGCTATATCTCTCCATTTATTTGGGTCTTGGAACAATATTTTGTAGTTTTCAGTACATAGGCCTTTCATAATTTTTGTTATATTTACCCCTAAGTATTTAATGTCTGGATGCTATTGTAAATGGTATTGGTTTTTAATATTAATTTCTAATTGTGTATAGAAATACAATTTCTAGTATATAGAAATACAATTTTTTTTTATATCCTGCACTCTTGCTAAACTCACTTATTAGGTGTAGGAGCTTTTTATTTTTATTTATTTATTTTTTGGCTGCATTGCACAGCGTTCAGGGATCAAACCCACGCTCCCTGCAGTGGAAGTGCAGAGTCTTAACCACTGGATCACCAGGGAAGTCCCTGTAGGAGCTTTTCAAGTGATGTCTTAAGACTTCCTGCATAGATGATCATGTCTTCTGCAAACTAAAACAATTTTACTCCTTCCTTTCCAATCTGGATGCCTTTTGTATCTTTTTCTTGCCTTGTTGCACTGGCTAGAGCCACTAGTTCAATGATGAGTAGAAGAGGCGATAGTAGCCAACCTTGTTTTTTTTCCTGACTTTAGGGGGAAAGCATTCATTTTTTCACCATTAAATGTGATGCTAGTTGTAGCTTTTTCACAGATGTCCTTTTAAGGTTGAGGAACTTCTCATCTATTCCTCATTTGCTGAGAGATCTTATTAGGAATAAATGTTAGATTTTGTCAAATGCTTTTTCTACATTTACTGAAATTATATGATTTTTTTTTCTCTTTTAGTTCATTAACATAGTGAATTATTGTGCTGTCTCATTCTTCTTTGAAATTGGAAAATATTCCCCCTGATTTATACAACAGATCCTCAAAAGGCTCAATGGACAGCATCAGGTACTTTGATTATCTTTATAATGAGAGGATATATGCTAAGAACCTTATAGCATTAACATTACAGAGAGGAAAGTTCATAGAGAGTTACAGAAGTGATGGCATGTCTCTCCATTCTATATACAGTATACTTTCCAGAAGCCCTGGGAATGATTAGATTGAATTCCAAACCCAACTTCCACCCTTCACTGAGATAAGTAATGTCCCCCACCAAGTTTTTGTCCACCTAGAACATGTGAATGTGACCTTATTTGGAAATAGGGTCTTTGCAGATATAATCAAGTTAAGATGACATCATATTGGATTAGGGTGGGCCCTACTCCAATGACTGATGTCCTTGTAAGAGGGAAACGTGGACAGAGATGGAGACAAACAGGGAGAATGCCATACAATGTTGGAGGCAGAGACTGGAGTGATGTATCTACAAGCCAAGGATCACCAAGGATTGCTGATAAACATCAGAAGTTAGGAACAAGCAAGGAGGACTCCTTCTATAGAGCCTTTGGAGAAAGCGCTGTCCTGTGGATGGCTTGACTTCTAGCCTCCAGCACTGTGAGAGAATATACTTCTGTTGTTGTAAGCCACCCATTTTGTGGCACTTTGTTATGGCAGCCCTAGTAAACTAATATACATATCAGGGCTGGAGATATACTGGACTCTGTACATTTGGATCAAATAGGAATTCATAAAATATCCTTTTCAGAGAATATTTTCAAAGTACAGACCAATATCTTGTTCTGAATATATTATAGCACATATCACGAGACCATTTAAACTTTAGTTTTGTGGAATTTTTGTCCTTTTTCTTACATCCCTCTGCTAGTCCATCAGGAAATCTATGGGTTCTACCTTCAAACTAGATCTAAAATCTGAACACTGCTCTCCCTCTGTTAAGACCCTGGTCCAAGCCAGTATCACCTCTCACATGGGTGACCACAACAGCTTCCTGTTTTCCTTTCTTCCAATCTTGCTCTCCTAGTCAACTGTTAGATCAGAGTGATCCTTTTTAAATGTTAAGCCAGATCATGTCATTTCTTGCTAAAAACCCCCAATGGCCTCCCAATGAACAAGTCAATTTCCTTATGATGGCCTAGAGATCCTTGGCCTCCCATTATCTCCTGGCCACATTTACTACTCTCCACCTGGCTCACTCTGTTCACTCACACCAGCCTCTTGCGAACTATGAATACTCTGCACAGGCTCCCTCTTCAGGACACTTGCCCTAGCTGTTCCCTCTGCCTGGAAGTTTCTCCCAGATATCTGCATGACTGTTGAAGGAGATAATCATGAAAACATGACTGCTGGTTGACCCTCGAACTGGAACCGGGCAATCAGGGGCTCCTCACCCACTCCCCTGTCCTTGGAGTGTGGGTTCTGCCCACTGTTCCCACAGTGGGAGCTATTCCAAGGGCATAGCTTTGAGAGAGCAAGGTGTTGTTGAGACCATCTGGACTGAAGGCATGACTGAACCCTATTAAGGCCTCTATATAAACTTTTTAAGATTCTGGTGGGTGAGTGTGGAGGTCTAACTCGTCTTGCTGCTGCCCAAGACAAAGCTTCGTATGTAAGTTTCCTTGCTTATTTTAAACCTGCCACCTACCAATGTGGAGTGGTCTGCCTCTTTCTTTGATCTCTCCTTGCTCTCCATGTACAGGGGCTGGTTTCAGATTTTACCTAGGAAGCTCCTGAGGTTTTGAACCAACAATGACTAGATCCCTTACCTTCCTCAAATCTTTTTTGCTTCCTTTTTTTGGCCTGCCAGATCTTGGTTCCCCAACCAGAGATGGAACCTGAGCCCTCTGCAGTGGAAGTGCAGAGTCCTAACCACTGGACTGCCAGGGGATTCCCAGACCTTGTTTTTTTGATTCAGTTGGGATGACATAAGTTTCTTCTCTCTCCTCTATTTAATTGTATCTAACAGGTCCTAAAAGAGCACAGATTTTGAATTACTGAATTGTTTAGAAACATTAAAGAAAACTGACTATTGAATAATAGGGCTTTGATTTCCTCTTTGTTAATAGGAAATCCATTTTTGTACATACTGACAACTATTCTATCATAATAAGTAAACATGAAAAAGGACAGAGTTTTGGGAGGAGGAGGAAGAGGGCTATGATCTCTAGTTAGAGGAACCCCAGTGCTATCCCACTGTGGACATGTTCAGTCATGTGCAATCATAAACACACTCAAAACAACTTGGCCAAGAATCAGATTTAGTGCATAAGAACCAACCAGCTCAGAAATGACACTCAAGGAGGGAACCAAGGAAGGTGAGCTGAGGACACAAAGAGTCCAGGCCTGCATGGGGTGCACCTTCAGGCTACATGTTTGTGTTGGCTGCTACAGTTGACCCGTTGAGTAATATCTCCAGAAATAAACATCAAAGAATAACTTAGAAACATTTAGTCACTTGCACACTGATAATTATTTTCCATGCAAACAGTGTACTGGCATGTGAAGGAATCAGTGAAGAGAATGAGTCAGGGACAAAGGCAAAACAAGGATGTGGTAGACTGCTACACTGGTGGTCCTCAAGGAACCAATGAACCTCCAAGTATCCACGCCCCAGTGTAGCCCCTTCCACACTGAACGTGGGCTTGGCCACATGACTTACTCTGGTCAAGGTGACATTAGCAAGCGTGACGAGGACAGAGGCTTGATAAGCACTTGCACTGTGGAGCTTTTCTTCTTGGAATACTCTCTGTGGAAGCCAGAAGCTTTGTAAGGAAGTCCAACCACCCAGAGACAGCCATGCTGTGAGGACGTCAAGGCCAGTTACAGAGCAAGGCCACATGGAGAAGCAATGAGGTGCATACATGCAAATGAAGCTTCTTGAGTCTTCCAGATCAGGTACCAGCCTCCAGCTAAATGCAGCTGAGTGATTCCAGCTGATGCCATACGGAACAGAAGACCCACCCAGACAGGCCCTCAATCAGTCTAGCCCACAGAATCAGGGGAAATAACACATCATTGTTGTTTTAAGCTACAACGTTATGCAGTGATTTTTATGCAGCAATGAATAAGTGCAACCGGGATTTACAAGAGAAAGGGAAGAGAGGAAACTGCATTCTGGGAATAGTGAATTTTGTTTGTCTACTTTTGGGGTAAACTGATTAGCTGGCACCTAGCAAAGAGGTCAGTCTGAAATTCTGACTTCGAGTAAATTGTCCAGGGATATCAAATAAAACAATTTTTGTTGTTTACTGATTCTCAAGAAAACCTTGAAGGTTTACCTACAGAACTTACTTGTGTAATATTTGACAGTGTCCGTTTGTTAGTACCTTTGACTTTATTAGTTCAGGCTGTACAACTTCTCTTATTAGAATTTTATAGAAGAAAACACAGAGATTGGGAAAAGACCCAAAAGGAAGTGGGCCTGGAGAATCTAAACCCTCCCTCCACCAACCCCACCCAAACTTTTTTTCCCTCCTTTAAAAACAGCATCAGTGGGGCTTCCCTGGTGGCGCAGTGGTTGACAGTCCGCCTGCCGATGCAGGGGATGCGGGTTCGTGCCCCGGTCTGGGAAGATCCCACATGCCGCAGAGCGGCTGGGCCGCTGGGCCTGCGCGTCCGGAGCCTGTGCTCCACAATGGGAGAGGCCACAATGGTGAGAGGCCCGCGTACCACAAAAAAAAAACAAAAACAAAAAAACAGCATCAGTGGCATTAGCAGTCTGTCTGTCCAGCCCTTTAGTCAACAGTCAAGGCTACCTAAAAATGGACTGCCTTAAGAAGGATCAGGGCCTTGCAGACAACCCCGGAGCCTGCGTTCCAATTGTGGCACTGCACTGAGGAAGCAGGGGTGGAGGGGCACTGGAGGCAGGGTCCTGGAAATGGGAGCTGCTTCATGGGGCCAAGTGGTAATTGGGATCTCCCTGAATGGTGGGAGTATGAGGATGATAACGACAAAGGACTAAAAGGACAAAGAAGAGGATAGCTGGTGACAGAGAAATACAGACAGAAACAGAGGAAAATGGAGTTAAGAGCTGAAATACAGAACAGAATCATGCAAAGTTAAAGAGAATTAATATTTATTTGGAAGACGGGGTGAATCCATCACTGGCGATTGGAACTCTGAGGCTGCACTTTCTCCTCAGGAAGGTGGGCTGGAATGCGGTGGGCTGTGTTTGGCAGGGGTTGTGGTGGTTTGGGATCTGAGTAGATGAGCAGAATTAGTTTTTTAAGACTGTGGCACCTTTCACACCAACCCAGAACCCACCCATGTGTCCTCCGCAGCTCTATGTTACCCACTGTCCCTACCCCCCTGGGGTACCCCCATTTTCTCAACCACCTCTCACCTGCCTGGCTCCCCAGCTGGGCCTCAGGCCGGTCTCCCCAGAGCAGATGCCTAGGATCGTTGAGGAACCGTTGGCTGCGCTGGCATGTCAGGCAGGTCTGTACAGTCCAGCGCTGAGCCTTGCAGCCTGGGGTGCATGTGGGGAAAAGAGAGTGCCCAGGTTTAGGAGAAGAAAAGGTCTCCTGCACCCAGTTTTGCCTCCACCGTTTTCCGGTAGGGATTCTACTCCCTCCCCACCTTGATTTGATGGTGTCAGGTCTCTGCATAAAGTCTGTCATTTTTTTGGTACCCTTTATTTATTTATTTGGTTGTGCCGGGTCTTAGTGGCAGCACGTGAGATCTCTGCTGCCGCGTGTGGGTCGTGCGGGATCTTCGTTGCTGCATGCGGGATCTAGCTCCCTGACTAGGGATTGAACCTGGGCCCCCTGCATTGGGAGCGTGGAGTCTTAACCACTAGACCACCAGGGAAGTCCCTCTTGGTACCCTTTAAGATAAAGTCCAAACTCCTTAACAAGACTCTTCAAGATCTGCCCTGTTTCCCTCTCCGGCCTCCTGTCTTGCCCTTGCCCACCTCAAAGCCAGCCTCCTGGGCTCTCAGTTCCTTGACAGCACCACAAGCTCTCTTGTCTGAGGCCTCACAAATGCCTAGGATTTCCATCTCCCACTCCCTTCCCTTATAATGAACCTCACCATCACTGGTTTAAGTAACTTAGTATTCTACTTCCCTAATTAAAGCATTTTTCTACGCTATTCTAATTGTTTCTGTCTTAGTCTGTCCCATCAGACTATAATTTCAATGAGAATAATGACTCTAGAGCAATAACTTGACACATCTCAGAAAAATAATTGTTGAATGAATGAATATGGGAATCATGTCCTCCATGACGTCGAATAACATCTATTATCATGCAGGGGCGAGGCTGCTTCTCATGGCGACATAATTTCTCTACTGAACAGACCTAGTTTGTCCAAGTGGAGTTAAGTTGTTAACTCAGAGCTGGAGAAAGCCGACGCCTCCAAATCCCACACCTGGCACCCATCTACATCGAGGAACGGATCATTGCCCGTGCCCTCCCCCAGCCCACAGGTGTTCCTCAAACATCCCACCTCGGCAGGAGGGAGCACTCACGTCTCTGGCGCTGGGTGCAGGTCAGGCCCGGGATGAGGAGGGAAGAGCAGCCACGACAGAGGGTCCTCTTCACCGAAGGGTCCCTGGGGGCGGAGGTGGGTGGTGGTCTGGGCGCCCGCTCTCCCTCTCCCCTCCTTCCCCCGTCCAGCCAGTCGCCGGACTCCGCACCCCTCTCACCGCCGCAATACGAGCCGCTTCGCTATGGTCCTCTCCGTGTGGCAATAAAACCTCGCCAGTGCCTGGTTCTCGGGGTCCTGCGCGAGGACGCAGTGGGCAGCCTGAGGGAAGGAGCCGTCAGTGGGGGCCCTCCGCACTGGGCCGCCTCCCTGTGCGTGCGCCGCAACACGGACTCACCTGGTACAGGAAGCTGAGCCTCTGGAAGGCCTCGCGGTCCTTCACCTGCCCGGCCATCCGAGCCGCGCTAGCTCCCCACAAGCCGCAGTCCACAGGCCCCACCCTGGGGTAGCCCCGCTCCCGGGCGTCCGCGCAAGGCCTCCTGGGAACTGTAGTTCCTGGGGCCGTGCGCACTACTGTGCCGTCCTTACTCTGGCGACACCCTGCGGCCTCACAGACCCATCTATTTGCAAACCCACACCATCCCCTGCAATCCAAGCCAGGGGTTCCTTTATGAGTTTGGGGTTCCTTTATGAGTTTTGGCTTCCTTTTAGTCTTCCTCAAGCCCATGATTATATTAGGTAGAGACTGGAGAGGTTAGTGGAGCAGCAGAGAATCTTAAACTGCTAAACATCTTCAGGACAGAAGACTGGTCTCTTTATGCAGATAGGTTGGGGAGATGGTTATGTGCAATATATACCCAGCTAGACCTCCTGCCCTATGCTCCTGAAGCCAAAGGCAGACGCCTGGAAGACCTACAGACTGAAGGAGCAGTTGATACATTCAAAAATACCACTAGTGCCAGTGACAGTGAAATTGGAAAGGATCTTGAGGGCAGTGGAGGGAGGGAAGAGGGCTCCTGGCTCTTAGAAAGCACAGCTTACTCCCAATCTTTTCCACTTACCAAAATGCAGTGCTGGACACACAGTAAGTAGGTGATCCTCACTAACTCCTGGTCTTAGGTACTGGAGGAAACCTGTCAACAGCATCCCCTGCCCCCGAAAAAATATCCCCTGTAGTGTTTCACACGCTTTCCTCACTTCCCTCCCTTAGACCTCTGCCTCTCCTCTGCTCTGTTTGACATCCTGTGATTACTTCTGCTTCATAGTTAATAACCACTCATTCCTGAGGTTTAGTAGAGGGATAGAACATGAATAAATCCTGAGATGGGGAGAGGGCAGAATAAGTCAGGAGAGAATGAGGGTTCTCTCCTCTCTCAGACCCCCTCCTCCTCGCCCCCCATCAGGCTGGACAGGGAACCAGGCCTCCAGTTTGAAGGAAATGGCTGAAATTTCCTCTCAGATTAGTTTCACAAGTGTCTCCAGGCTCAAATGAGGAGTGTTTAAAAGGTAGATGGCCAGGCCCACTCCAGACCTTGATCAATCACTGAAGGTGAGCCCCAGGAATGCAATTTTTTTTTTTTTTGGTCACGCCGTGCAGCTTGTGGGATGTTAGTTCCCCGACCAGGGATCAAACCTGGGCCCCTGACAGTGAGAGCGTGGAGTCCTGACCACTGGACCGCCAGGGAATTCCAAGGAACATGCATTTTTAACACCCATTTCTTATATATCAACAGAGATTATCATCAAATTAACACAGGACACATAGATCACTTCAGTGGATCCTTTGTTCCATATTATGTTTTACCAACCAAAGCATCTTGCCACAAAGAACCACAGTCAAGGCACAAAGGTAAGAGGAGAGTCTGGACAAAGTCCTGTTGAGGTGGTAGGAGGAGCTGAAATGCCCTCAATAAACTGCAGTTTCTTGTCCTAATCTTCTGTGAACCCCTGATTACCCAAGTAGCAGATAATCCAGTCATTTTAGTTTGGTTTGGCATGCATTGCTTTACCTTTTTTGACAACATACGTACCCTACAGGTTGTTTATTTTGGCCTAACATTAAAATGATTTACATTCTCTGATATGAGAAATGGCAAAAGGTGAAGGATGGCAACAAACAAAATCCGGCTCTTGTGAACACTAGTTCCAGGCCAGATGCACACAGGCCAAAGGAAATTGCCTATCTGGCCCTTCCCTATACATACCACCCTCTTCTACCCTGTCCCCAGGGTGAGGAAGACTCCGTTTTCTTTTTCCCTGTCTGGCTTGGACACCTTAGCCAGGTAACAAGGCTGACAACTTGGGAGTAGCTACTTAGTAGCATTCTTTAAGGCCAGGGCTTTGGATAGGAATACTTTTCTCTTTCCTCTAATACCTGACTCTCTCCTTTCCAAGTTCCCTTGGGAAAGCAGTGAAAGGGTGGATGTGTCTTGCAGGATCTCTTGCATCTTGCCTCTCCAGATGAGCAAGGTAACAGCTCTTGGCGATGAGCAACTACAAGGAGGTGGGCGATGAGCCATCTCTGCTGAAGGCTAAGGCAGGGACCTGGGTTCTCTTTCTTCCTACCCCCTCCTCCCCACATTCCTACCTCTGGCCAATCCTACTCATAATGGCAACCAAAGAAACCCTTCTCCCCTTCATTAGTCTTTAGGAATCTGTTCATTTAGCTCCCTTTCCTGACCTTCTTTCTAACCTTCTTGATGCCCAATCTCTGCCCTGAAAATAACTCCTCAACATCTACACCCACGAGAGCAACTGTCATTCATCTTTATTTCAATTTAGAGGTACCAAGACCCCTGTGATCTTCCTAAAAAAACAAGACTGTTTTGGGTCAAAGAACCCCCTAAAAGGATGTACAGGGGGTTCTGTTTCCTCCTCTGGTTTGAGCAAGTCAGACCCTCCCACAGACTTGCTGTTTCTGGAAAAGCCTCTCCTTCCTTCCAACCCATCCTTGTGCAATAGAAAACCTGATGGACTTCAGAGGAGACTACCCCCCGGGAACCAGCTCTCCACCCTAACAGTGAGGAGGGAGACACTGCAGTGCTCTCGTCCCAGCCCAGTCCTAACTACTCCTCCCCATAAACCATTCTAGAAACCAAGGTGTTCTCCCAGATGGTTCAGGACTGGAACCAGGCAGACACGAAGACGTTCCAGCAGGTCACAGGAAGGAAGGCCCGTAGCTCTTGACCCTGCCTCACCCTGATTATTCCCACGTCCCTACCTGTCACTCCCAATCTGTTGGGGGCCTGATGGTAAGCGGTGCAGCATTCTTCCGACCAGCCCGGATGCCTGGGTAGAAGAGGGGCCAAAGTTTCTCAGTAAAAGTATCAGTGAAGGTGTAGATATGAGAGCGGTCTGTGACGTTGTAAAAAGACAGTGTACCGGCCTCATAGTCTAGGAATATGCCTACCCGCTTGGGTTTCACCTTGATGTGCAAAGGGGTAAAAGGTGTGGTAGTGGCTGCATACTTGTCCCCATTCCACAGCCGCACCCGCCAGTAGCCAGTCTCAGGGAGTGGGGTCAGTTCGCCCTTTCGGCTCACAGAGTCCCGGCACACACCCACTGCCCAGTGGGTCTTGTCGCCCACCTCCACCTCCCAGTAGTGTCGACCTGAGGTGAAACCCTCAGTAGCCAGGACACAAGGGTAGAAGGTGAAACGCTGTGGTGTATCAGGGAGATCCCGGAGTCTTGTCTCCACGAACTTGACGCTCTTACGATCTTCCGACAGGACTAGGTTAGGATGAGCAGTCTCAGGGTCCAGGGTCACATCCGCTGGCGGGAGAAGCCAGAGTGGGGAGCTAGATGAGGACGGGAATAGCTAAACGCCCCTGCCTCACTCTTCCAGCCTGCCTTTGCAGAGCCTGCTCCCTGAAAGCCCCCAGAACCCCGTGGTTTGCTTAACTTTCTCAATCCTCGGTGTCACCTAAGGGAGGGGAGGGGAGGAAACAATGGCTTCGTTTCTCATCCTGGCCCTAAAATAAACAGGTAATGATCTCTTGACTCTGCAAGGGCTGGTGGTTTAGGCTCCTGCCTGGTTCTCCCTCCATGCCCCCTGACATCATCATCCATCTCACTGTGTGGAGAAGCACAAGGCACAGTCCAATGGTAAGAAAAAATAAAAATGTTAAGAAGGGTACAGAGCCAGATAGCATTATAGTCTAGCGATACAGTGACCATGTGTCTGTTTCCCTGGACAGTCTGGCTTATGACTATTTTCCAAATAAGTATTAATAAGACTCCCTTTCACTCTCAAGAGGGGACGAGTTTCAGCAAATTATTTAACCTCTCTGGGTCCCTATTTAGAAAAGTATGGGACTAAGAGTAGATGACACCTGAGGCTTCTCACTTTGAGTTCTGTGACTCAGAGTGAGATTGAAAACCAGGTAAAGGAGTGGGTGTGAATATGGACATGAAAAGTGACAGAGGGGATAAGTGAAGTCCAGATAAAGTAGGACCTAAAGACTTTCTTCTGTCGATTCCCTCTGCTAGTTTCCTTTTGGGAACAACTCACCAATTAGCTGTTTAAGGATTTTCCTTAGTGCAAAGTACTGTCGGGGGAAATTGCTGAAGTTCTTTTCCAGCTCTATGGATACTGAAGTCACCTCCATGGTCTTCACCTTCTCACATCTAGGAGGGATGGGAAGATAGGGGAAGAAAGGGCAGGGTCAGGGGAAGCTCCAGCTTAGTGAGTATTCAGATGCTGTCATCTCTAGGGAGAAACTAAAATTCTCCATCCTCACACTTTCTCCTCCCTCAAGACAAGTTCTTGCTTATTGCTTTCTTTTGCCTATCTATGGAAAGCCATATGGTCCCCTAGACAAACCCTTATCTTAATAATCAGTCTTAGAACTTTCTGGAGGTACTGTTATATTTCATGCAAATAGATAACCACCTCCACCCCGCCCCCAACCAGTTCCTCCTTCCATCTTGTTTGGACACAATTCCACCCATAGGCCCAGGTAGAATCTGGTTCTATTTCATTATCTTTGTATCTAGGAAGTCCTGATGCTCAGAGGGGAAAAGGTAAGGGACTAGTACTCCCAGTGATTTGCTCTCTAACTGGCTTCATGGATGCAATAAACCTTCTCCCTTTTTCTACCCAGACACTGCATGACTTTCCCATCCTTATTCCCCCAACTCCTTATTGTAGCCCTACTCTTTAAGCCAAGACCTAACTCACTCAAAGAGATACAAGAATCACTTACTTTTCCAGGGTACTTTTGACATCCTAGAGGAAGGAGAAAAGAGAGCAATATTGGTCCTGGTAGTCAAGGGTCCTAAAGGCAAAAGGTTTCCCTCCTCCCAAAAGTTCTAGATCTATTAAATAGGCATAAGGCAAACTATGGGTCACAGTGCAAGGGGACGAGCTCCAGAGGGATCTGAGTACATCTCTCCCAACCTAACCCCCACTTTCAACTCTCAGTTATCATGAAGCTTGGTAACTGATATCACTTCCAAATAGTTTCTTGCGTGCTTGTCTTTGTTCCTCAAGAACACTGGGACTCAATGCCAGGGACAGGGATTGTGTCTGCTCTTTACTCTGTCCCCCAAGTACCAACCACACACCTGTCTCCCTGAGGATCAGTACAGATAGTTCCAGACGGCTGGCATAGGAACGAATCACACTCTCCCGTTGTGGTTTGGTATCCCTTGTCTAGTATTGGTTAATAAATATTAATAACTGTGTGCCAATCCTGATTTGTGAATACTTGGGGTCCAGAAGACAAAGAAGACAAATCTCTGCCCCCCAAGGATTTCCCAGTTTAATGTGGAAGGCAGAACACACATACATGAAAGGACACGAGAGTAAATACCAAGCAATATATAACATGCAGATAAATGTACAACGAAGCCTCACTGATTCAAATGCTGGTAATGTGATCTCTAAGATAAGAAATTTGTTTCCTACAGCCTTGCTAACACCATTCATTTGCTTAAGAAAACAGATTTCAAACATTTTAGAGGCACCATTTACATATCAAAAGCAATATATTACTTATACATTATTTCAAGTGTCCTTCAAACTATGCTTCTATTCTTTCTGTGCACTAGGTAAATCAAGTTCCAGGACTTAAAAGTAACGGTTACTGCATTTACACAATTTTTAATGCATAGTTTTTTCACTATTCAGACTAGACTGCCCTCCTCTCAAAAGAGTGAATTTTTTCTTTGGTACAAGTTAAGCACATAATTGTTGACAAGACATAAGAACACCGAAATGATCAGAAGGGGATGGGAGAAATCAGAGAAGGCTTTCTGTAGAGAAAGATCCTTTGAGCCTGTCTGGAAGAAAGAACTGGATTTAGAGAGGCAGAGCGGAGGAATGAGCATTGCAGGCTGACAGAATGGCCTGTGCAAAGCTAGACTGTGCTTGGCCTGAGGGGCTATGCAGGGGCAAATGTCGAACCTTAAGCATCTCGAAGCCCGACTGTAAGCACTTGCCCTCCACCTCAGCAGCCAAGTGGGCCAGGTCCCGGCGCTTGTCTCCAAGGTGAGCAGCATTTTCTCGGAGGCGCTGTAGAATGTCCTGTTCCTCCTCCTCTAGTCGTGAAAGTAACACCTGCTGCTCTTCATCCAGCCGCCGATGAAGCTCTTCAAATTCCTTTAAGATCTGCTGTCGACGACTCTCCACTAGTCTCTGAGAACAGAGGGTGGGTATTATGTTTAACAGGGCCAGTGGAGCACAAAGTGCCTTTCCCCACCCACCATGTGTATGAATTCACACAGACTTCCAGTGTCATTGGAAAGAGCTTAACAGGACACTCATGCTTCTCTCCACTGGAATTTCCCTTTGTAAAGAATGGCTCCATCCCTAACTAATAAGAACCTACTGTATAGCACAGGGAATTCTACTCAGTGCTCTGTAGTGACCTAAATGGGAAGGAAATCCAAAAAAGAGGGGATATATATATATATATATATATACACACACATATAGCTGATTCACTTTGCTGTACAGTAGAAATGAACAAAATATTCTACACTATACTCCAATAAAAATTTTAAAAAAAGAAAAGAAAAGAATGGCTCCATCCTCATTGTCACCCCTACTGATGATGGGATGAAGACCATTGGGGAGATAAAAAAATAAACCAATGTTAAAAAATTTATCTTCTTTATTAAATTAGCTTCTAAAAAAGCTACACTTCTATGTTTTAGTAAAAATATTCAAGACATAAGAACCCAATAATATGACATGTATTATTACAGAAATCAGAGATACCTCTGCTATCGCCTACTCTAAAGTTCTAGTTAATGCAATCTGTCAAGAAAAGGAAAGTACTGGAAAGTCTGAGATTGTTATCATTTGTACACTGCAAGACATTTACTTGATAAAAACCAGAGAAGCAACTGGAAAAATATCAGAATCAACAAGATTTTAGTAATGGGTTGTTACAAAATATAAATGTAGATTTCAAGGCTGAACCTGTTCAACAGTTCCAAGTCACTTCAGAGACTGACAGTTTACACCCCAGAAACAGGTTATAGAAGTTTGTGAGTAAATTATTTGCTTGAAATTTGAAACATGCTTTCTTTCAGTTAAACCTCTAACATTTCTGAAACTGGATAATATATGACTCAGACTCCAGCCATAACGCATTCTGAGAGTTATCAGCAGGCATATCCTCCCTTTTGCACCTCAACTGCAACAAGAAGTGACCTCCCCAAAGGATTCCCTAAGCATCACATGTCTGATGGGGAGGAATCAGCCAAGAGGAAAGCAAAGTTAGAAGCAGAGACTGGGACTCTGGAAGAAGGAAGTGGATAGGGCCTGGAAGGCAGGGTTGAGGGTGAATAGAGAGTGGGGCTGCAAAGCCAGGTGGGCCTTACAAGCCTTGTGTTTCTGGATTTCAAGCTAGTTCCCAGCAGAGGCTGACTAGCTCCAGTTCTAGAGCTGCTTTCTGCTTCCCATTTCACTGCTGCCTCCTCAGGAGCATATTGGAACAAAATATATTCTCACAACATTTACCATTAAGTAAAACTCAGCCTTTTTTCCTGTGTGTCTGTGTGTTTAGGGGTGATGTATGGGTAGAATTTAGGTTCGTAACTGTGGTAAAAAGAAAGCAAAGGGCTCTCGTATAATCTCATAATCCCTTCTCTTTTTCTCCCCCGCTATTTTGTAGGGCAGTGGTTCTTAATCAGGGTGTTACCTCCTTCTAGGGATGTTTTGGAAACAGGGGGCATTTTTGTTTGATTGGGGGAGCTCCTGGGAAGGATGCTAACACTCCTCCAATATGTGAAGACAACCCAGTAAGATGAACTGCACCATTTTCTAATGTTCTGCTGGATATTAAAAAAATGGAGTCCTGGACTTGAATGCCACTTTATATACAAACACAGAGTAATTCTTATATGGTTTTAATATACCTGAATTTTTCGGGAATGGCTAAAAACTCATTAAGACTGTATTTTGTTTTTCTTACAATTTTACTGTAAGTTATTTATCATTTTGAAAAATTATGGCACCAATAGCTAAACTGCTAGTGGCATTTGAGTCAACATTACTACACAATTCCGTCAGTCTGAATTTGTATTTGTTGCATTGTTGACATAGGTGCAAGGATAAAACTACACTGTAGTGTCTTTCGGGGTAGTCATGCCTAAATGTTTACATACCAGATTTTATTATAAATTACTTTTATGTTGTATTATATTATACTATATTTGGGCATGATAGTCTCTTTTAAAAATTATGTGGATAGATCATTTTATCCATAATTTTCATTTCAGCATGATTAATTACAAATTATTTATTTCTAAAAGGGGCATTGGGTCTGGAGGTGGGGATGAGGGAGAGAGTTCAAAAGGTCACTGAAGGAATGCTGGTGGTTGGTGACAGTTTCCGAGACCATTAAAATGATAATATACATTTAAAAAAAAAACACACCACAGTTCTGTTCAAGCACTGAGCAGGTTTTTCTTTTTTTTTTTTTTTTTGCGGTACGCGGGCCTCTCACTGTTGTGGCCTCTCCCGCTGCAGAGCACAGGCTCCGGACGCGCAGGCCCAGTGACCATGGCTCACGGGCCCAGCCGCTCCGCAGCATGTGGGATCTTCCCGGACCAGGGCACGAACCCATGTCCCCTGCATCGGCAGGAGGACTCTCAACCACTGCGCCACCAGGGAAGCCCCATTTAGCAGGTTTTTAAAATTTTTATTCCCCTCTCCATCCTTTACCTTTAAGAAGGTGATCAACAGGAAGAAGAAAGCTAATGACTGGGAATAAGCTTCATTTTCACATATTTTAAGTTCTTCAGGAGCCCTCCAAAAGGACAAATAACTTTTTTTTTTAACGTTCACCTTTGCAATCAAAATTAGTTCAAATTTAAAAAAAATTCAAATGTTTGTGTGTTAAAATGTATAAAGGACTAAGGTAATAATACTTGCTTCCTGTTGAAATGTCATTGTTAAAAAAAAAAAAAATTAGTGTTTCTACTGATTTCAAACCTGTGTTTAATTTCTGGTGATCCCTAAATCTCAACTCCAAAAACTCATTATTTCTTCTGGAAGTCTTTAATGCAATCAAGTTTCTCTGCTGTCTTCTTAGGAATATGCAACTGTGCTTTTTGTGCCATGTCATTTATATTTTCTCTACTTGACTGTAAGCTCAAGGAGGGCAGGGACTGTACTTTTGCTCATCATTGTTCTCCAGTGTCAAAGACAGGGTTTGGCCTATACTGGAAGCTTAGTAAATATTTACTGATTTCTGCAGAATTAGTATCTCTGATTTTGCACATACTGGCTATATGATCTTGGACTAGACACTTATCCAAGTTCTGTGTAAACTGTGTAAACTGGGGATAACAATACTTACCTTACAGGGTATCTAAGTTCACTCTTGTCAAATATGACTTCCTGGCCTCCCTTCTCCTTGTCTTGTACCTCCTCTATGTCCCACTTGGGCCAAGTATAGCCTGAACTCTTAGAACTTAAAACTGGACAGGGCTTCCCTGGTGGTGCAGTGGTTGAGAGTCTGCCTGCCGATGCAGGGGACACAGGTTCATGTCCTGGTCCGGGAAGATCCCACATGCCACAGAGCGGCTGGGCCCGTGAGCCATGGCCGCCGAGCCTGCACATCCGGAGACTGTGCTCCGCAACGGGAGAGGCCACAGCAGTGAGAGGCCCGCATACCGCAAAAAAAAAACAAACCAAAAAACAAAAAAAAACTGGGCAGAACCCTAAGACCTAATAAAATCTTCTAAGTTTGGAATGTCATGGACACCTAAGGAATTAATGCACAGGATTCAATAAATACTAGGTATTATTACCACTATAATTAATACATGTTTCACTGTCCAACAGAAGAAATAAGGCAGATACCAAACTACAAATTTGGTAGTTTCACATCTCTTCCATAGCATTACCATGCTACAAATATGGTAATGCTATGGAAGAGATGTAAAACTGTATGAAAATTAAGAAAGCTAATTTCTAAAGGGTCAGGAAAAGCTACATAGGAAGTGGTTTTCATCTTAGGATGGACAGGATCCCATAGGTAGAGGATGAGGAGGGTAAGAACATTCCAGGAACCATTATCATCCAGCATACTTGAGCTTACTTGAATTAAGAGAATGTGGTCCTAATGTCGCTGGGAGGTTCTTCTGGGCGCTGTTGGGCAGCTCCTTCATCCTTCCTCCCCAGTGCACCTTCCACATTCTCCTTTCCTCAATCCCTCTAAGGATCTCTCAGCAGAGAGCCTCCTTCCCTGCTTTACAAAGAAAAGGAGGCCAAGGGGCATGAACTCCCTCAACTCGCCAGATATAAGATGTTCTTTCCTTCACCTCTTACATCCTTCTCCTCAATTCTTAATCCATGACAATTTAAGTACAATGTTTAATCAGTCAAGCCTAATAAAATATCATTGTTTTTGAGAGAACAGCATTTTCCTAATAAATCAGAACTGGTAGATTAAATAATGTGTGGTTAATGTTCAGTTAATTGCCTGAAGAGCAGCCCAAATGGGATTGCCTGCCTTTACCTTGAGTTCCCCAGGCTTCTTCTCCTCAGAGGACTTGCAGCGGGTGATCTCCTGCAGCTTCCGCTCCAGGGGCTCCAGGCACTTCTGCAGTTTTTCCTGAGGGGTGAGAAGTGGGAGAATGGCATTTGGGGTTGGCTAGTACATCCTACGTTCAAAGGCTAACCCACTTGTTTTAAACCATTTGTTTGCTTCCTATCCATCTGTCTCTTGATCCAACTCCCTTCCTGGCCTGTCATTTGAGGTGTCAGCTTCCTACAGGTCCTTTCTCCTGCCACCTGCCTGTCTCCATCACCTTCCTTGCTCACCAAACCTTCCTTTCACTGAATCTCACTGTTCCACTGTCACCAACTCTCTGTCCTTCCCCAGCCCTATTAGTTTCCTAACTCAAGGAACTGCTTGTTACTGTCAAAGTGACCTCCTGTACCCTGATATCCTTCTTTAAACTTGTTTTCCTATCCAATTATAACCACTTGCAAATATAATAAAATCTTGATTACTTATTCTGAAAACTACCATAAAGTCTTATTTCCAAGATTTTATTAACATTATTAACATTTATTAATTAGGCAAAGTACTTGATAAAGTGCTAAGACATTAAAATCTCTAATTCCTATTACTCAAACATTTACCCTGTGTCCCAGCAGTAAGTTAAACCAGATGCCATATTATCCTTTATTGGGGGAAGATGCAAACAGACTGGCTCAGCTTAGCCTGGTGGGGGTCATTCTAAAGTGATGTTACCTGTTCCCAATATCAGTGGGTAAACAAGGGGTGTGCTGAGCAGGGGGACAGAATGAAGAAACCAGACCATTTTTCAGTTCTTAAGTTTGATCTTCTCCACATGGTTTCATTCATTTATGAAAAATACGATACATTCCAAGACCACACATACTCAAATGTGTTACAAAAGTCAGACAGAATTTTTCGGGGTACTCCTTACTGCTCTTCTTCATGCCTGAGGATAACTGATCAGACATATTGTGTGCCCCCATGTACGTAGCTCTGAGGGGACTACAGATTGAGGATCAGATACTGTCTTGCCCTCAGGAACTTACAATCCTCTACCCAGGGAGTCTCCCATCCTCTGTGCTCCTCCCTCTTGCCCTGCATTGGCATCATGTGTCTGGTTCCCTACCTTGTACTCCTGTGTGGCATCGTCCAGTGGCACGACAGTGTGGGCCCGGTGGGTGTGGGAAATTGCACATATCAAACACACAGCCTCCTGGTCCTCATAGCAGAAGAGGCTGAGGGCTTCATGGTGCTGGGGGCAGAGGCTCTCATCTCGGATCTTCCGCTTGACGGCCTGGAGCTGCTTGGCAATTTCCACCATGCTGCCCAGCTGTCGATTAGGTCGGAGACTGCGGTAGCGGGACGTCTTTCGACATACAGGACAAGGGAAGTCCCTCTCTAGGTCCTCCCACCAGCGAGTGATGCAAGCTTTGCAGAAGTTGTGCCCACACTCAATGATGACAGGCTCCTTCAGATACTCCAGGCACACAGAGCAACTTGCCTCCACCTGTAAGTTCTCCAGAGCTGCAGCTGTGGAGGCTGCAGAGGCCCCGGCCTCTAACAGGCTTGTCTCTGCCATTATTTAACTTGAGGTTAGGATGGGAGAAGAGAAAAAAAAAATGTTAGTTGGAGGTTTAGTTTTTTTTGCATCCCTGGCCTGACAGTTACCCCCAAGTTAAATCCTAACTCCAGATTTAGCCCCATCATAGTATTTTACATCTTCTCTTCCACTACATCAACCTCTTTTGTTTCTCCATTTCCAAAACTTGTGACTCCCAGCCATCAATTTTTTTTTTCTCTTCAGCAAAATGACACACAACCCTCAATCTCTTGTCTTTTACCACTGCTTTCTCTTGCTAGAAACAGAGGCTTCCTTCAACTCTGAGTACTTCTCCTGATCCAGGTTCATTCCACTTGTATCTTAGAACCAATAGTTTCAGACCAATGTATTCCTAGTGTGACATCTTCTAATAGATGAGAAAAGAGTATGGGAAAGCGAAGAGTGCCAAAGCATTAATTAAGATTTCTTAAATTGAGTATATTTTAAAGTCTAATATTTCAGAAGAGTTTTACTACAATAGCCCATTGGAGCCTAAGCTTGATTCTCTGCCGCTGTTCTCTCAGTCTTTCAAAGGGTAATAAATAGAATGAGTTAGGCAAGGGTGACAACCTCTTCTTTTCAGAAAGTTTGAAATTATTCTTCCTTTTATCAGGCTAGCCTAGAGAAAGTGTGCCCTTTTCTTGGAATGAAATTATTCATACAACAACTCATTTCTATTTGTGTGAATTTGGACATCTGGAACTGCTGAAAAGTGATAAATTCATGGCAACTAAAGAGTCTATTACTGAGCCCAGGGCAATAATTTTTTGAAGAGAGAGCTGACAAGTCTATTTTAAGTATTCAGCAGTGACTGGAGTCACTGAAATAGTTATCAATAACTAATTCCTTGGATGTACTGTACCTCCAACTAATAGGTTCTGGAGTGGTTTGGAATTAAGAGAGAGAAAAGTAAAGAGGCAATCTTTACTTAGAAGAGGCAAAAACTTCTAATGAAGCCTCAAAAGAATTGGAAATGCATCTAAAAGATTTATAAAGCAGAAGGCTGGTCCTCTATTCCATCCTTAAAACATCACCACTTTTATCCATGAAATAGTTGATTTCTCCATCCCCTTAACCCCCCTCCCTAAGGGATCCAACAGAAGGAAATTTAGTAAGTCTATGTGTTGAGAGAGAAGTGGCCATGTAATGAGTTGGGTTAACAATGATTATTCCTGTATATGTTGACGGCACACGTGAAAAGTGTTTAATTTGGAGTAGGAACTGAGAGCTTATTCGGACCTGAATTTCCTCCCTCAACCAGGAGAGAAGTTCAGTCAGATGATTTTTCTCTACCTCTGGGAATCCAACTTTGACGAGTAACCCTTCCCTTTCCCTAATCTTCTAGAAATTAGGTGGTCTCCTCACCTGGGGTGAGTTGAACTGTATGCAGAGTTAGGGAGCAGAATGGATCTAGACTAGCAAAGAAGTAGTGTGGAAGAGAAATGGGGAAAGGTTAGGGAGGTATGGGGAGAGGACTTGGAGCTACAGCACTAGTTAAGCCTTCGGTGTCTCTGGGTTGGTCATTTTTTCCCCTCTATTCCTCGTGTCTCAGTAGAAGGGCAAACTTCAAAGCCGTCCTCATTTTGTTTCTACCACTGTCGGGGGTCCCACCTTGCGACCCTTTCCTGAGCGTGGTCCACAACTTGGTCCCACCCCCGTCTCCATCTTCTCCGCCAGATCTGGCGCAGGGGGACTGGAGTCGGGGGAGAGGAAACGTCGTTGTTGGCAGGGAGGGAGGGATACGTGTCCAGGTGAGGAGGAGGTGTGACGTGAAGGTGGGATGCCCGCCGCTATGACGCAGCCGAGAGCCGCGGTGACGGCGCGGGGAGGCTAGCGGCAGCGGGACGGGGGAACGGCGGGGTAGCCAAGCAACGCCGGACGCGCTGACGTCGCCGGGGCGGCAAAACGTCCGCCCGGGCCCGAGGCGGGCGGAGGCAGCTGTGGTTACGTGCGGGGGGCCGGTGACGCAGTCGCGGGGCGCTAGGACGCGGCGTGCGGAGCCGGTCAGCGGGGGCAGGCCCCAAGGCCCCAGCGCGGCGGCGGGACAGCACCTACCTTCCCGGCTTCGGGTCCGGGAGTGCGGGGCGCAGAGCCGCCGGAGCGCTGCCTCCCTCCTTCCTCCTCCCCCCGCCCCCGCCCCGCAGCGCGACACACAATACTCGCCGGAAGCGGAAGCCGCGCCGGGAGGCTCGTGTCAGTGGAAGCCCGGGTGTTGGCGGGCGACCGCGGGAGGGCCTAGCGGCGCCTCCGGAACAAGGAGAAGGCGGGGAGCAGGAGGGGAGAACCAGCAGGAGGAGTGGAGGGCGAGAAGAGACCCGGAGGGGCAGGTGGCTGAAATGCAGTCGTCCAGGTGACCCGAGGAATCCTCTGGAGAAAGAGGGCCGCGCATGCGCGTGGCGGAGCGCTGAAGCCCATTGCCCACAGGGCGCCTACAGGCGCCGGGGCAGGCGGGCCCGTCCCGCCCAGGGTGTGGGCCCGGGCTCTGACCCGGCTCGGGCTGGTCCCGGTTGGGGCTGGGAGCCGCCGGGGGCGGGGCAAGGGCGGGTTGCGGACATTGAGCTACACTGCTCCTCTCTCCAGGCCAGTCCCGGGAGAAGGTGGCTCACCGAGTCGGCGGCCAATTACGTGGTAGACCTGCGGGTCTCAGCTGGCACGTCACTTCCGACAAGTTGAGTTTAAGCCTTTTAACATTAAAGGATTAGCTCAATTTTCCCTGCCGTGGGCTTCGGATGCTTGGTCACCTTGTCCTTGCTAGGCGAGCTTTACGGAAATGATCTACCTCCTCCGATGGAGTGGTAGCCCCGAAAGAGCTGGTATTGTGACTCTGCTGCTCACCTTTGTGTCCTCAGCTCCTCTCTCGGTGCCCGACCGCAGCGAGCGCGCAGTGAGCACCCGTTCTGGGTGCGAGCCAATCCCGTCTTTTTCCAGTTTTGTGGCTTTGGCTTGAGTTTCTCCGCAAGAGCAGATGGTGGTTTTGCGGCGACTCCGGACTCCTGCGTTATAGCCTCCTTACTTTCCTCTCCTGTTGCTGGAAGCTTCGCAGCCTTGTGACTTTGGAGGACGAGGGCGAGATGATGAGGCTGGGGAAGAGTCGGCGGACAGAGGTGTGATGAGACTGGGAGGAGGTGCTGAGTTGAGTTGATGGAGCTGGGGAGGAGTGGATGCTGGGTAAAGGGGTGATGGGGCTGGGGAGAAGTTGGGGCTGGGGAAAGGTGTGCTGCGGCTGGGCAGGAGTTAGTGCTAAGAGTAGACACTGCTGGTAGAAAACGCAACTTGCCCCGCCTTCTGTCTGCCAACACTAGGCATACAGAATGCTAACCAAAAGAAATGAACAGATTTTGGTGTACCCTTCGAGGTGAAATGGCCCAATGGCCCAACTTGTGCCTGTGTAAGTTGTGATGCTGTTTACAAACACTGTGCAGTATTTAACCTCTCATCCTGGGAGCCAGGAACTATTTATTTGCAGAAAATAGCTCATGTGGGAGGTATAAAGATTTAGGGTCAGGCATGCTAAATACAGCTGGTCTGCTTTTTCTTCACTGTTCTTTGCTTTTTGTTCACTTTTTTTCAGTAGCAGTGATTTGAAGAGGATTAAACTTGATAAAATTACATTTATTAACTTTTTTTCCCTCATTGTTATTTGACCATTGGGAATTTTAGCAGCAGTACTCTTTCTAGTTCACGGACTGCCTCATTCTAAGGTAGGGTAGTTTGAAAGCCACAAATTGGGCGGTCAGCCTCTTTATCCTTACTTTATAGGGAGCGTGGTGAGGTTTGGTTCTGGTTATGATTTGTAACTTTTAAGGTGTTGGCTAGCACTTCATTCTGGCTTTCTGTTTGTAGGTGGCCAGGGGTGTGGTAATATTAAGCAAATTTCCAGGAGGAAGTGCATTTCTGAGGAGTATGAAGAATGTGGTGGCCTGGAGACTAATAGATTATTAAGATGACTTTACGCTCAATATGGAAGGAAAGGGGGGAGAATGTCTAGGTAAAACTATAAAATTATGAAGGGCATGTACTATGTCATAGAACAGGGTTTGGCAAACCTTTCCTGTAAGGAACCAAATAGGACGTATTTTTGGCTTTGTTGCCCATACTCAATTCTGTCTTTGTAGTATGAAAATAGCGTTAGACTATACTAAATGAGTGAGCGTTGCTGAAATTTGAATTTCATATAAATTCTTCACTTGCCTTGAAATTTTATTCTCCTTTTGATTTTACCCCCAATCATTTAAAAATGTAAACACATATCTTAGGTTGTGGGCTGTACAAGCACAGGTAGCAGACCATAGTTTGCTGTCCCCTGACATAGAACAGTAATGAAGTACCCAGTATTTTTCAATAGAGAATGCCTGGGAAAGTGGGTGAACACAATGCTGTGATCTCTTATTTCCATCTGTCTATATGATAACACACAAAATAATAATAAAGGAAATTTGAAATCTTAACACAAATTTGTTATGACCTGTGAAACTTGGTCGGCTGAGATTTATGAATATACTAAGGTACAAGTACATTTTTTAAACAAGGAAAGGTATTCGTTGTCTAAAATTAAACGAGATTGTAGTTCAGGAGAGGTGGAATAACACTGAATTGTGACGTTGATTTATATCAACAAGGGATTTCCAACATAGGAATATGCAAAAATGAGTAATAGTAATATGAAGGATAATTTAAAAAATTTAAATATACACTTTAATATTGTTTTTATATCAGTAAAAGATATATCTGATATATCTTTTATATCAGAAGATATCTTGGAACCACTGAGTCACATAGAGGAAAAGGATGTATTAGCAGTGCAGGTAGAAAACTGGTTGAGGTCAGATATGAGATATGGTAGGTTGGGGAGGGAGAGGGTTCAACTGTCCAGACTTCCGAAATTTTTCCTCAGAAGAAGGCAAAGCATCTAATTTTCCCCCGCCATTTTTTTAAATTATAAAAAATTTAAACTGCAGAAAGACGGTCGTCAGTCTTTT